TGATCAATAGTTGGAGTTGTGACATCCTCATTCCTTTATTGTTCTGTCAGTATAGTTCCCATTTCCCTGTTGTTTGCCTGTACAATCTCTTTCTGTATTTTTAATTGTTTCTGTCTGCTGTATAATTAATTTTGCTAGGTGGAAATCAGTTAAGATGGTGAGAGATAATTGGTTAGAGAATTGTGTTACAATATGTTAGGATTGGTTAGTAAAATAATTGGTTACGGTTTAGCTAAGCAATATACCTCAAGTTTCACTATATAAACTGGGGTCTAATAAGGAGACCTGCATGGGAAGAAGGAACAGAAAAAGAAGAAGCAAAGACCTGGAGGAAGAAGAACTCACTTCCATAACAAAGTCAAGAATCTTCTGCACCACTGTGACATGCAGCAACCAGAATCCAGACAAGACTGACCTTGCCTGGCCAACAGGGGAAGTTCACCTGCTTGACCAGGATTGGTGAGCATAGCATTATATGCTTAGCAGATATATTCTGCTTGGTTGGTAATTATTAATAAATAGAGAGTAATAATATTATTGTGACTCTTTCACATTTAAAAGATCCTGCAAACCCACAGGAAGTTACACATTGAGCCCTGAATATTTAACTTACGCTGAGTATTTAAATTAACAGGGTTACCCCTTGAACTCTAGGAACTGGGTAAAAGTGTGTGCCCCTCAAGTGTGGGAGTGACAGAATTATATGCGTGTAACAGAGCTACACTTTATTTTTAGCACACTAGCTCAGTCAGAACTAGTGTATGTTTCTTCAAACTGGGATTCACATCTTGAGATTGACATATGTGTTAAAGCAGCTTAGTACAAGGATGTATTTGTGTAGTCAATTAACCGATAAGCAAAAGCTTATCGGTTAATGCTATAGGCTACATGCATTCCTCCCCTACCCCCACCAGTAAATTTTTTAGCAGGCTGGCCAGCAGCCTGGCTCAGTCCTGACTTGCACTGGATCCGGGAACTACCCTCGCTGCAGCTCTGCATTAAAAGTGTATTAGGAGCCAAGCAGGCAGGCAGCTCGGTTCAGTTTCCAGCTCGTGCCGGGTATAGGAGCTCAGTCCTTCCTCTGGACAAGGGCTGCTGCCACCCTGTGTCATCGGGAGACAGGCACCACGTTGCTGCCTCTGATACTGAGGCAGTAGCGCGGAGTGGCAGGGGGTTCCTTGGAATTGGGGCCGGAGTGCACTTGTTTCCAGCCCCACCCCAGGGACTACAGAATAGTCAACTAACCAATAAGAATTCATGAGGTTAACTGACTATTCAATAAGCCAATAGTTAACATCCCTACGTTGTACCTGGAGGTCTGTGAAGTTCAGATCTGTCATCTATAGCTTGTGACCCTCTTTTACCTCTTATTTGGTAAAAGATAAAAACCATGTTTTTATTTCCTTGATCCTGGGACTCTCAGAAAGGTGTCTGAGGCAGTGGTATGGCCTGATTCCAAAGGCTGAAAACAGACTACAAGTGTGTAATGCAGCATGTGGACCAATCCTTTCTGTTTTTGTGACAGATACACAATTTAAAATACCCTAAGAAAAGGCACTGCTAAAACTGTCTGATAAGTACAGGATGGTGCTATATATTTAACGCATCCTCTTTTCAATAGAATTCACTTCTGTATTCCTCCCAAATGAATAAGCATAGGACAGGAGCCTGCATTTCTTACTTGGGTAAAATTCCCATTGAGTTGGAAATACCAGGTTGTTTTTCCTTTCTCCTCATTTGTCCTTCTGGTTGCAGTATGCTGCCCAATGAGCCCTGACTGAAGAAGGCTTATAGGATCAGGTACTGTTTTATATTTCAGAAGGAATATGTTTTATAAGGGACAATTTTTTAAAAAATTTTGGAAGCTGGTGTAAGACAGCTGGTCAAGCAGATAAAGCAGGTCTTTTCCCAGGCACAGTTCCTTTAAGGCTCTGGACCAAATTAATCCCTACACTGACACAGTCATTGACACCAAAACAGAAGAGGTGGTTTCCACTTCACCACTGCAGAAGTTGTGGGGCTGGTGCAGTGCCCCAAAACAGGGTAGAGCAGCCCTAACTTTTGCTTTTGATGCAATGGCTGCTATCAACCACTTGAGTGGAGAAGAATAGCAAAATTCTGCCCTGGTTATGCCACCTACTGTACAATTCTTCCCCACCTCTGAACTACCTTGGAAGTACATAAGGTTAGAATCACATATAAAGAGTTCATCTTGTGCTGCAGCCCATCTGTCTAACAACTCTGTGGAGCGTTGTCTCCTCTGGAATTCCTCTCCGTCTGCTCATAGTTTTTTGGATTTGTGTTCAGGGCTTAGCCATAGTTCATTTCTGTATATCTCATGCCACTCAGTGAGTTGTGAGCAGGGAGTTTAATCTTCAGTTACTGGTTGTCAGGCAGAGTCTCTGCAACCTATTACATTTTAAGAAATCCTCTTTGTAAGGACTTCTGTGGGAGTCATGCTGCCAGCACTAAAAAAGGCTCTGGAGTCAGGAAGCAGTCCAGAGGGTAAGACCCTCTGCCTAGATGCCTTGCCACCCATCTGATTTCCCCAGAGTTCTTGGTAAATCACAATTTGCAGAGGACTGACTCCTGTGCCCTTTAAGGAAATTACAGTTTGTCGTAGTCTGAACCAGAACTCACTGAAAGGGGCCATTTAAGAATATTTTACTTCATCTTTTATTCATTTCCATGGTGATATGAAAGAAGACACGATCCCTCTCTTTAGATCTTGAAGTTAGCTTCTTAATGCAGCAATAAGCTATTAGTACATGCTATGAGTGCACTGCAAAGCATGAAACCCAAGACTCATTTATATTGGCCTCTAATTTCTATTCATTTAGTTGCTGCTGGCACTTACCCAGGTCTCTCTCGTGTCCAGATTGATAGGTACTTAGGAATATGCAATATGGGTGCATCCTGTGAATTGTTAATACTTCTGCGAATCCGTAACCATCTATCCAGTTATGTCAGTGATATGATTCTTTTCTATCAATAGATAGGTAACAGACATCATGACTTGCATTTTTAACATACCTCTGAGAATACTGAGCCCAGTGCTAATCAGTAGAGAATAAAGCTCTGATTTTGCACAGATCCTGCGTGCACAATGTCTGTAGCTTTTTGGCATTTTGTTTTGATTTTTCACTGATAAAATGATGGCTCAGCTTCTTAACCTTTTTGTAAAGGTTTAGGATGTGCCTCCTTGTCAGAAGGGTTTATATAACTGCAGCACATTTTCTCTTGAAAACAATTACATTGGCAGGAATTTCGACATGGAGTAGGAGCATATACATGAGTGCCTTGATTCACAGAAGTGCTGTGCACCCCTACTTGACACAGAATTCAATTAGAGCTGTCTTTGCTCAGTACCCCAGAAATTCAGGTTAGCTCAAGGCCCAAACCTGCATTTCTTGTGTACCCATGAGGAGATTTGGCAGGCAAGGAAATGCATTAGCAGGCCCTTGATCTGTGAAGGGTGGTGGGACATGTCTATTATGCTTATGAAAAACAGACTTAATTTATACTGATTAGAAGTAATGCCAGTTTTGTGCGTCTGCACTGCTAGACAAGCGAATGAATGAAGGTAGGAGTCAATGTAGTCTCTTCACTATTTGCAATATCACCATCTAGCAATTAGCACCGGCTATGATTTAAATCAAGCTTTAGTATCAAAGCTACTGGGGACAGAATTAGGATTTATATTCAGATAACTTTATGTTATGCTTGACTGCCAAGGCATCAGTGAGATTGATTGCCAGGATTCCTCTTCAGCAGACAGTCCTAACATCTGCCAAAAAGCTCAGTTACACGCCGGGGTGAAAGTGAGCTGTGCTATGTATGACATGATCTGCTTGCAATTTATGGACATGCCTATATCAAAAATTACATAAAAGTTCCAACACACTCTGTTTCTGCAGGTGTTTTTTTCAAAACTGCTGCCAAAAATAGGTGATAGTTAACATTTAGTATTCAGCAAGGAGTATTAAAACCACAGTGAACTTTAGTCTGGAACCAAATCATGCAAAAATGATTAATTGAATGTTGGTGGGGAAATTTGTAACACATCCCTCTGGAAATAAGAAAATGTCCCTCATCCTGTATTTAACCGTAGCACTTTATCAGTGGACTAAGTACATAATTTGCAACATCCCATTTTATCTGCTGTAAGACATTTATCAAACGAATTAGTAGCTTTAATCATTTTCAGATATAAGCTAACCTGCTAATATTAAGGATAATACTAATATTAATGTACATCACTCAGGGGTTTTGATTATAATAAATTAAGGGGTTGGGTAATAGCCACTCTATAGTAATGTATCACTGGTGATATTTTTATGTTTTGGCATTGGATAACAGACTTGAGGAATGACTCCAAGTCCTTTTTCATCTGCAGCAAACACAATGTTTTTACCAGGCAGAAAATGGTTAATTGCGGCTGGGTGTCAGGCACAGCAAGATTAAGTGACATGCTCATGGTTACACAGCAAAGCCTTGATTCTGTGGCCCACCCACATGTGGCTTGTTGCAGGATCATGGCCTTTCACACCGTCAGAGTTGGGATTAGCACTAGGTTCCCTGCTCCCCAAGCAGCTGCTGCACAGTAGATGCTAATATAAAGATAAAGGAAGATAAGGCCCCTTGAGAGAGGTACATTTTAGGTTATTAGCACTTTTTGACAATATAGGCTATAGCTTACCACTTGCTTTTTAAATTAACCAGGAATTTATTCCCTGCTATGAGCTATGTGTCAACTCCTCTTATGTTTTTTCTCTGAAAGTCTCACAGCTGGGACTGAATAGAGATTATTTTTAGATACCTTGTTAGCATCCCCTTTCCTCAAGGATCATAGAATTAAGCAGAAACAAAACTCAACCTAATCAGAGCAATTAAGCACTAAAAAATGTCATATTGTTTAAGCTAATCAAAAGTGTTTCTGAGGTGGGTGGTCTGGGAACTTGGAAAGGCAGATTTAAACAGAGAGAATAAAAGACGACAGGTTTTTTTTCCAGAGTTTTTAATAATTTTTTCCTTCTTCCAGCCACAACTTCAACATTGTGAGTGGTCGAAAATCACAAAGTGCCTGCTTTTACACTGAAAACAATGCCACATGACCAAAATACCTGTACATTGCAAGATGATCTCTTAACAGTCCCATATGTGGAGTTAACATACAGGCATTTTACTAATGCCGTGAGACAATATAAAAATGTACAAATATGTGCTGATTGTGAGGTGCTTGTTGGAGGAGGGAATTTGAAGAGACTGTCCATTGTTGCTTTTGGTCTAATGCTCTTTATGCTTTCACCAGAGCTTGGAATTCTGTTAGAGAAAGAAAACGAGAAAAGCAGGGAATAAAACTAGATGAAAGCAGTTAGAGCTTCTGGAGTGAATGGAGAAAACTCTCCAGAAATCCTAAATGAGGGCCCACAAAGTTGTTATAACAACTGCTAAATTCTAACAGATTGATTTGGGCATAAGCTTTGGTGTGCAAAAACCCACTTGTATCTGACAAGGAATCCTCATTGATTTTGCAGATAGAGAACAACACATCTAATACTGCTATCTTGAAACTCAGGAGGGTGCAACAGATGTTCACTCCTTAAAACAGTCCGCACAGCATGCTGCGATGAAGAATGGATCTATAAATTCATATTCTTAGGAAATCCTGAGTTAAAACTGAATTTACTTTTTTCACTGATGGGGGTTTCCAGCTGGAGTGGGAGTTTGCCATGCATCCTGAATGTGTTGCAACAGCCAAGATGAAAGAGAGTGAATTTGGATAGAGCTATCACCTTTAGTCTGAATTTTCTTGCTTTTGTAACTTCCAAACGAGGCACTGAATGTTTGCAGTGACATAGTTCCACAGTGAGAAGAGTTATCATTAAGGAGCTGCCTGAGAGCTGCATAAGATTATGTCCTATTTGGGATTTATAAGTAGAAGCTACAAGAGCTGCTGCAGAAGCACATTCCTTCTTCTCCTCCCAAACTCCAGCTAAGATTAGCACGTGTGTCTGTTAGGGTTGTTGCCACCTGTCCTAGTCTGACTGAGATGGCCCAGTTTTCAACTACTTTATCTCTAGTACATGATCTTATGTGCTTCCCTGCAAGCTCAAAAAGGAATTGCTCAACCAGACCCTATCTCCCCCCCCCCTTTTTTAATAAAGGTAATTTGGTCTAGTTCCCATAGAAGTGCTGCCCAGTGAAATTTGCAATGATTAGATTATTCCCTAGCACAAATATTGTCAGACTGACTCTGAATGTGTGCTGAGTGTTTAAATGCAGTACAGCAATTGTGGAATCCTTTTAAAAAAGCACAGTCAGTCTTTTTACTGTGTTACGGAGTATAGGTTGAGCATTCAACTGTGGTCTGATGTGCAGAGCTCCCATAACTGCTGTTAAGTCCATAGGAGCTACTAGTTGTCAGCACCTCTGGGAAATCAGGCCTTTAGAATTTAGGGGCCTGAGCTTGTATCCGCTGAAAGCAATGGCAAAACTCTCATTCAAATTACAGGGGCAGGATCAGGCTCTAAATGGGGCCTGATTCTGCTGTCATAGATTCTAGTATCAATATGAAAATATACTTGTGTAAAACCTGTTTCAGAGGGAAATGGGACCCTATTTCTCCACCTAATTATCAATGCTGTAAATTTACTCTCAGCTTGAACATACATATTTGAAGAATACAAAACTTCCTGAAGATCACACTGAAAAAAAAAACCCCAACAACTTACCATCCACTCCAATTTTGCCATCACCGTCAGTGTCACCTGCAGCCATAAAAGCCTTGGTCTCCGCATCAGTTAGAGCTCTGGCACCTGAGGAGAAATTCTTCAGGAACAGCCTGAAATAATAATAAAAAAAAAAAAAAAAAAAAAAAAAAAAAAAGAAGGAGAGAGACACACATTTTTGTGTGTTATTTGTACTACAGAAGTCAGGTTATGGCCCCAGAGTTCTGTGCACAGAGTTCTGAGACACTCTCTGTTCTCTGAGATGGCTTTTGTAGTTCAACATTTCTATCTCTCACTTAATTCAACAATGCCTAATCTTAATGTATGTGGCAATTCCCAACTGTCCTGAACAATGTCTAATCTTAATGTATGTGGCAATTCCCAACTGTATTTTAAATGGAAGTTCACAAGCTGATGTTAAAACCCCATTCAGAGATAGCCAAGATGTGGGTGTTTCTTTAAAAGTAGCAGCTGATTACAGGACACAGAGAACATCTACAAACCTACATCTAACAATTCACAGCAACTAAGCTATACTTACTGAAGCTCATCTTCCTCAATGAAGCCGCTCTTGTCCTGGTCAAGGATTCCAAAAATTTTCTTTACCTGGTCAGTAGACTTGCCTTTTAGACCGACCTTGGAGAAGAAAGACTTGTAGTTGAAAGAGTCAGCAGCTGGAAGAAACAAACACCTGTTGTTTAAAATCTTTTCTCTTAAGGTTATTACTACGTATTTCTAAGGCACTCATCCCCATACTGTCTGGGGGGCCAGGCTCAGTGCTCAGTTCAGCTCCTGTTGCTTTTGTTCCTCAGTGCAGCATGCTAGACATGATCTTAATGGTGCTTCCCATTAAGCTGGAAATGGATGGCAGGAGAGGGATCATGTGGTGATTGCCTTTTCTGTTCACTTCCTCTGGGGCATCTGGCATTGGCCACTGTTGGAAGATAGGGTACTGGCTAGATGGACCTTTCATCTGACCCAGGATGGTCATTCTTATGTTCCCCTTCTAATGACTGTAGGCCTATGGTTGGCTATTCTGTGGCCATTCATGTTTCTTGTTAGACTGGACATTCAGCAAAGACCCTGAAACTTGTTTCAATCTACCTCACAGGCAATTAAAATAAACATTTAGAGTATGTGCATTTGACTGACATAAAGCCTTTCAGCCAATCCCAAAGCCCTTTCTCCAGCTTCACTCAGTCCTGGCACATAATTCATCTACAGTCATAAATGTGGGGTTAACTCTACAAGATTGGCCCCAGTGAGCAAATAATTAGGGACAAATCCTCAAGTGGTATAAGATTGGCATAATGCAACAGAAGTCAATGGAACTACATCACATTTATACCAGCTGAGGATGTGGTTCTTTAATGCCAGTTTGCTGTACACATTTATAGGTCTTTTTGAATTCAGGAGGCTACCTTGTAATGCAGCTACTATAGAGAAAATCATAGTTATAGCCTATTAAGGTATAAAAATAATGTATGTCTCCTCATTGCAGAGGGACCACATCTTACCCTGGCAGCTGGAAAGAGCAGCTTCAATATCTTTAGCAGAGAGGATATCAGTCATAGCCATTGCTGAACTGTAAAAAGAAGAGTGAGCTATTTAGTCATTAAAATAATATCTCCATCTCTTTCACACAGGGGCTCTGTTTGAAGTTGCTGGTGCGACCATGTCTGATAAAGGATATATTATTCATCTAATTGTAAATGGAGCACACAGTAACAGATGTCTGCAGCAGGTGCTTCCACTTGAAGCTGGAGAATGAGTGTGGAATTCCACATAACAGGATGTAGGGCCAAATATGTGTGGAGAGCAAGGGGCAAGAGCAAGTCAAAAGTGTCTAGGACCCCAAAAGTGTATGGTTTCCCTGGAAGTAGATTATTACTCATTTAAAATGTATTAATACATAATCAAAATGACTCTACAGAATACATAACACAAAGGGCCATATTTATCCCTGATGTAGTTCTTGGAGCTAAAATAAGTATTATTATCACGAGTATTATTAAATGGGCTGATCTTTTTAAAAATTGAAAAAAAAATAAAATGAACATTTATTCTGATTTAATTTTAAATGACTAAATACACAGGACTAAATTCAACCTAGCTCCACTGTGGTCAATTGAATTCCACCAGAGATGAACTTGGCCTGTTGCATTTATGATTCTATAGAAGATTCGCTCTCATGGTAGCTGTCTAGACAACTGTTCATCTTAAACACATAGGGCTGCTTTGGCTCAGCACAGAGCAGACTGAGCTGGATTTTTATTCATTTTGGTAAATTGGTGTGCTGAGAACAAACCTTTGAAGACTGGAGGAGGAAAGCCAGTTTCTTCTGAAACATCAGTTTTTAACACAGATCCCTTTCTCCCCCCTGAAGCAAAGACAACTCCAGAGGTTCTGTCTGACAAAGCTGCCTGTTGATTACCAAAAAGCAGCTGAGGCCTTAACTCCCAGTCTAGTCTATTTACAGGCATATAATTTAATATGAATATCATTACATTGCTATAGTGTTCTCCATTGTAGATTTCAGAATATATCAATTATGAATTATGACGGAGTTAAGAATCACAACATTTCTGTGAAGTAGGTACATATTACTTATGGATGGGCAACTGAGGCACAGGGAAGTGACTTTGAGGGTCACAGAGATGGTTGTGGCAGAGCTAGGAATAGAATCCAGATCTCCCAAGTCCCATCCCAGTGCTTTCCCAAAAAAATCTTATTCCTGTATAAAATACATATAGAAAAATTAAATGTTTCCCCTTTTATTTTCCTTTCAAAGCATATGGATGTGGGAGAAGATGGTACCCTGTTAATGAGATCTGCATAAACTAGAAACTTGCTCAGGCAATCGGTTGGTACCTCAATCCAAACTGATTTCTGAGGGAGGAAATAAACAGTTAATCATTTAGATCTGCTTAGTCCTTTCTTGCAGGTTCTTCAGAGAGAGCAAAGAGACAACAAGGCAAATTCCCTACTGGTTTCAATGAGTGCATCTCCAATTAAATTTTTCCATTGTTGTTTCTTCCGCTTCTGTAGCACTGAATTTATCTCAGTGAATTTGTGAATTCTTGTAAATATTTATTACCCTTTGCTCAGAACTCAGGAAGGGCAACAGGGAGTCATACCAGTCTCCCACTTCTCATTGCGGTTTTTTTTTTTTAACCGAGAGAGAGAGGGGATAAAAAGGAGAAAAACGAATTGGAACATGCCTTTACTTCTGAGAGGCGCACCATGGCTGCCATTTCCTCCCACTAGTCTGATCACTGAGTTCATTCTACTCTAGATTGCAAAAGTAGAGCAGACTGTAAGCATTTACAAGGTTTTGTTTTTAATTGCCTGGGTTCTTTCAATTTATGGAGCAATTTGCTTTTCTTTTTCCAAAAGCAGAGGTTCTAATGGTCTTACCTTTGTGGTCTTCTTGCCTAGATAAGGAGGCAATCGAGTTGGAAGGAAAGCACTTGCTGTGTGTCTCCAGCAGAGCTGAGCTTGCTTATATATACTTTAAGTTGTATACCATATACAGATTTTAGATTTCAGCGTCATGAAGGGGGAATGGTGTCAAATGAACTTGCCTAACTAATCATCTTACACTATTTTTATCTCAAGAGAATACATATGATATTTGCAAACGAAATAAGATAAGTGGCAAGATATGTGGAAAGGACTGTGTTGTATTAAATTTCTTCTGATTTAAGCAAAAAATATCAACTTCTTCATATGATCTAGGCCACAAACAAACAATGTAATACATTTGATCCTAGTACTTAGATGAACTGAAGCTAGAGTGAATCTTGATGAGATGCATTCGATAAACTTTTTAATGTGATAACTTGTTATATTATCTGTAGACAACGCTTGGGGTTAAAGGCTTAAGCGTTGGCCTGCCAAAGAAGGAAATTAATGTCTACTCGTGCACGGAATATTGCTATGCTGAAATTTTGGGTATAATAGAAGAATAATAGTCATTTTCACAAAGATTATTGGGCTATTGTCTCTTAGAAACAGCAAATGTGTTGCTGCAATTGTTAAAATAATATTACACTAGTCTGTCTGACCAGCAACAAGCATCTAATTCTGTAATGGTTGAAGAATTCGGTTTGTCCCTAATCAGAAGTTGAGAATTCTTTAAAGTTAAGAAGCAGCACTCATGTTTAGCTGTGTTATGTCTGAATAATAGAGAGGGTCTGATCTACTCAGCTGTCTCTGAATGAAAACCTCTGAGCTTTTGCTAGAGGGATCTGCTTTTATAATTCAAAAAAGAGGAGAAACTTGCCAAAACCACACTACAGGAGGTCCTCTGGAAGGAACTTTTTTCCCCTCATTTTAAGCTGTTTTATGATCTAATCTTAATTTTTTCTGCATTGCTGTTTTCCAGAGTTACTCAGTGCTATGGTACATTTTCAAATATTTAAATATATGAGAAACAATTAAATTGTTTGAATTTTCTTTCCTGAGATGTAATGTGCAAATACTGTAGTACCTATGTATAGCTGATTTCTAGAAAAATTATCCCATTTTTTAAAATTAGAAGATTGCCCACATTGCGCCATTGTACAAATGTGTGGCATGATGCTGACTAATGAAACTATGTTAAGGAGAAAGGCAAACTCTGGGATGGTATGAGTATAAATGAGAATTTGAACCTGGGATGTCTATGTCAGAGGATGCTTTCAATTTTTGAAGCAATAGCATCTCATCTTGCTAAAAGCAAATTCCACATATGTTAACCCTTCACCCTGTTCTTCTGTTTAAAAATAGCATTGATTACTACTATTTGTTTTAGTGCCTGTGGTCCATAACCATTTTTCTGTGCTTAAGTGAGTGAATCACTTGAGCACACAAATGTGTTTTTGTTTTCCAATGGTTTGTAGCCAGATGATTCCTTTTGCTTACTGTAATTTGAAGGACGGATCCTGAATCCTATGATTTACAGCCCACAGACAGTTGAATTATTGGCCAGACTCTGGCAAATTTCGGAGCCTGGTTTGCACTGAAGTTGGAGGCAGCAGAGATCTAAAACACGTGCAGTGGCTGTCAGGATGAAATGCACAGAGATCATGTAACACTATTTACAGCCAGCCCCCAAAAGCCATTTTAGCAGCAAGTGCTACTCTAGAGCCTACAAAACACATCTGTCTGTCTGGCTGATTTTTATTTTTTTGCATCAAAGCCCGTTAATAGCCTTTCAGCAGACACTTAATTTAGCAGGGGGAGGAAGATCTGTGTAGCATTAGGAAGCAGCAGGAAGTAAGGAAAGGATGATCCCCTACAGACAGACAGATTCCTTCTTAGGGACAGCTTAGACTCAGAGACCTGCACCATTTCAGTCCTCTTACATCTCTTTGCCTGCTATTGGATTTCTTGTTTAACACATGAAGAAGCAATGGTATAAATACTATTCTCTTTCCATTTCAGGTCTTCAGTCTTGATTATGATTTTAACCCTGCTAGTGCCTCCTCTCCCCACATTGAAAGGCCACATTTTAGAGGCCATTAAGTTGCTGTCTTTGGGAAATCAGGATCTGTGATGCCATCAAAATCCTCCTTTCTGCCCCCCTTCTTCATTCCTCTAACTGTTGTTTGCTATACAGTTGCATAATATATTCCTGTTGTCCCCCTTTACCCCAGAGGTGGCTGCATCTCACTAGTGTGGTGATTCTTGTATGTTGCAGTTAGGCAAATACTGCAAACTTTTTTGTGATTATACATTCTCATTTTCAATTAATTAGCTTAGGCCTCTCTTGCATCTCTTTTGTGTTTCATTACCTGGGATGTTCATGTAAAGTGAATTTCAAAATCCTAGGTGGGAATTTTTGTAAAAAGCTGCATTTTATAGCTGCACATATGAAACATTGATGGACCCCCAGTAGTCAGCAGGTGTGATCAAACCTGGGACCTCAAGAGCTAAATCCATGGACCTCTACTACATGGGCTAAAAGCCACATGCTCTTAGCCAACGCTATAGCAGATTCATTTATCTTGAAGTTGAATAGGTGCCACTAGAGGGGGACAGAGCACTCCCCAGCTGGCATGGGTCACACACACACAGCTTTTAACACTGGATTGAAAATTGTCTCTGTACTCATTTAATGAGGGAATAGAAATCCTACCAGATGCCCGACTTAGTTAACCATATTATAATCAATACTATTTGTTGAGTGAAAAAAAAAGTATTCCTTTGGCTTGTAAAAAATTTGGGGTCCTACAAGACAAAAGAAATTAAATAATGTTTTATTATGCCAGTGCATTATCCTGCTTGTTTAACAGACATTCTAGGTTTTCTATTTTATTCAACTCTAGGCAGAAGTTTTACTTTCTGTGAACGTGACTGGAGAGTCACAACTTTCAGTAACTGCCCCAGGACTCTAGCAGGCAGACAGTAACTGAATACATGGGAATATTTATACTAAGGTTTTTTTCTTTCAACGAAGTAGTGCAAGAGAAGCATACGAAGAGCTGCCTTGCTGGCAGGAACCAGTGCATGAAAATCAAATAAGATTTGACTTATTTTGTGCAGAGTTGATAACTATTGTTAGATAATTTACTGTATGATAGTAAATTTAAGTAACTCTCTGAAGCCACATACTTACAACGTAACTGATTTTAAGAGGTACTGAGCACTCGCACCTCCCATTGACTTTAATCAAACTACTAATTACAACCTTCCTACCTAGAAAGAGCCAAATCTTACTCTGTTGCACTTTAGACTAATAAATATATTCTAACATGAGCTTTTGTGGGTAAAACCCACTTCATCAGATGAGTTGTAGTGGAAATTACAGAATCTAGGAAGATATGTAATATCAAAAGCAATTACCTGTCAATTGTAGGACCAGTGTTAATGATGCTACTTTAGTCAGGCTGGATGTGTCCCATACATAGCTTTTGATGTGTAAATGCAAATATCAAAGGCAGGGAAAATTGCCTTTGTAATGTGTTAACCAGTTAAAATCTTTATTCAAGCCCAAGCTGATAGTGTTGAACTTGTAAATGCTGGAGCAGCACTGGCTTCAGTGGGGAGGGGCAGGCACTCCAGCCCAAAGGTAGCTAGAACAGTCTCCCCACTCCCTTTAATCAGTTAACCAGTTAAACAATATGTTTAATCAGTTAACAAATTATACAGGATTTTATATCCCTACAGAGCTCTAACAATAATCAGAATGAGGACCATAGAAAAATAAGATGAATACAAATGGAAGTGACTTCATCAGATGTAATGGTTTTGGATATAGAAGCATTAAGTCTTTAGAAACAAGAATTCATCCAGCATTTTAATGCTAATCCTGGTTTAATCAAATAGTGCATCAATAATAATAATTTAGTTGTTCAAATATTTAAAGGATCAGTGAGCTGAAAGGACAGAAAAGGGCATTGTCCTTTCTATACAAGTATAGTATTTGTATTGTAGCTCATGAGCATTACCACTTGAATTGATGTCCAGATTGCCTGATGATTTCAGGGTTTATTATAGACTACAGAACAATGCAAAGAGAAAATGTTAGTCTCTGTTATTTAGTCATGATGAGTGCATGTGGACAAGCTAGTGACTTTCACAGTGGCTTTTACTAGCAAATTACTCTAGTTGATGGGAATAAAGTAAAATGTTTCACTCTGTTTGAAGGGAACATATTTTTTCCAGGTATGTTGCTCTGTTGATTTATGAAATGCATGTATAGTGTTCAGGTGATACATTAATTCACTGGCATAAATTCTGATTGCCATAGATGCAGCTGGATAGTATCACTCACTGAATTTTGCTAACATTTCCAAGATGTAAAAGGATAGAATGCTGGGGAGGTTTTAAGAGCAGTTTTCTTAAGCTAAAACAACAGAGTCTGGAGGCGCTTTTAAGACTAGCAGTTTATTAGGGTATTAGAACACAAGGGTGCAACTAGAGGGCATGCAGGACATGCCATGCATATAGGCCCTTGGCCACAGGGGGACCCATATCCAGAGGTGAAAGCCTGTACTCACCAATGTGGCATTTGGCAAAAAGAAGCCAGTGGGTTGGGACGCTCAGCTGAAGCTACTCCCAGCTGGACTCTCAGAGCTCTTTTGCAGGCTGCCTTGCTAAAAAGCAGCAGCTAGGCAGGTGAAAAGGGCAGGATGTCTGGGAGGGGGGGTGCCCCCCCCCCAGTTCAGGGCTGCCCCAGCTCTTAGATCCCCACCCCGCACCCTTTTTTTTTGGGGGGGGAGGGTTGTAGCCGGGTGTACCTAGAACTCTGCTGCTCTTCTCTTCCCCTGGCTAGCAGGGAGTGAGGGGAAAGTGTGCAGCATGTGTGCCTTTCTCTTGCTCCTGGCTCCCCAGGGGAGGGGCAGAGGAGTACTTCACACAAGCTATGCACTTCCCCTCACTCCTGATCATCAGTGGAAGAGGAAGAGGAGCACTGAGCTGGTATGTGTGGCTGCAGCTCCCCTGCCCTTCTGAAATGATGCTCTGGCCCTCCTGCACTCACACCTACACCTCCAGCCTCCTGCCCTGAGCCCCCAACACCCTTAGCTCCCTGCCTT